GGGACAGGGAGGGGGTGATGCTACTGTAGTCGAACGGTGGGACGGACGTGCAGTTCAGTTTTTGGGCACGCATACGGTGCTGCAGGGATTTTTAGGTGTACCTCTTCGGGCTCTTGCACACCTTTTTCTCGTCAGATGTGTGCGTGTTCTTTAGATCCTCAGATGGCTCTAGCACTTTCGTGACCACGGGCTGAGGGTCTTTTGCTAGATTTTGGCATTTAACAACTGACATACGGTTTAATGTGAAGACAAACAACAACAACAACGAGAAGACCCTCGTCCAAGCTCAGGATCCACCGCCGTTCGTGTTTCCTCCTCTGGTCCACCTTCAAATACAGCAAGGGTGCACGCGACAAAGAACACCGCATTATCGAGAAGAAGGGAAAAGGTGGCTTAAGGNTTTAACAACTGACATACGGTTTAATGTGAAGACAAACAACAACAACAACGAGAAGACCCTCGTCCAAGCTCAGGATCCACCGCCGTTCGTGTTTCCTCCTCTGGTCCACCTTCAAATACAGCAAGGGTGCACGCGACAAAGAACACCGCATTATCGAGAAGAAGGGAAAAGGTGGCTTAAGGCATGCACGGGTGCGGGATGGAAAGGGGGCAATAGCGCATGCGTTGCACGGAGGGAGCATGTTCACAGCAACGGCCGGCGAGCTTGTTGAGCTACAGCAGTACCCTTTTATGTTCATCGCCACATACAGAGTCTACGGCACGCACATCTTTCATTGCGGTTGAAACGGTTGTCTGGTACATATCTCCTCTCACCTGGATATGGCCCTTGGTGCGGTAGGAAAGCTCCCACTCACGGAGGGTGCTGGAGGCCACTTCAAAAAACTCCGCCGTTTCCTCGAAAGCTTGCCTCTTGGACACCCCCCTGAGCAGCTTGTGGTACAGCCCTTTCAGAGCCAAGGCCTTGAGCTGCAGGCTGCCGGCTTGCGCATGCGAGACGAGAACAGACTCCTGCATGTACGTAAGTTAGGAAAGGGGGCAAAATCAATGGTAAGCTCATCGGGACAAGCGGTGGGGATGAAAGACAAGGGTGGGGGCGGAGTGGTTCTTGCGGCCCAACAGTCGCGCGCAACTTCACGCAGACATCTACATGGGCGGCATCACATCAAATACATACGGCAGCAGCAGGAGAAGCATAGCGACAACCGCACAGTATTACAACCAACAGCAGTGCTTGCGGCACGAAAACTTCGATCAACGCATGCATACATTTACACTGCATCGTGCAGCCCAACATCTCTTACATTGAGTCCAGCAGATGAGACTGCTACAGCGAATTGGCATTCCTTGATGACGGCGCGGAAATAATCCTGCCCCCGCTCCCAGCCCGATCTACATGCAGCAGATGCTGCGGCCGCCTTTTCCAGCTGCGATCGATGCTTCGCCAGCTTGCGAAGAGCCTCCTTCCTGCCCACACCCCTGTTGCTCTGGCGCTTGAGGAACGCTGGTCGATAGACCTCTTCTTGCTGGTGCGCCTCCTTCACTGCATCCGACATCGCTCCAGGAAGATCGCGCGAGACCACCTGCGCACACTGGAGCTGCCCTCGCTCGAGTTAAACATTGAGCTGTTACGCAGCTTGGCGAAGCCTCTTCCTGCCGTAGCTTCCCTTGGTCTGCCTGCTCCAGGGCGTGCTCCGCCGCGCTTTCCAGGCGGTGATCTCGGGTGGATTCCGCAGCATGTTGATAGTCCCGCGGCGGCTTTTCTCGGGGAGGCGCAGCTTCGGCTTTGCCTGCATTGGCATCGTTGTGGGGCACGTTGCCGCTACAGAAGGATGGCCGCCAGGTAGCAGCCCACCGGCCCTCGGCCGCCCAGTCGCGACCCGTGGTTCTGCCTTTCGGAAACTTGATGTATAGGGTTGTTGTTGTTGTTGTTTCTCACATTAGCTCTAAAAAAAAAAAAATTGGGAGCCCGTGGTCTCAGAACCCGGCATACACGACCCCACGAAGAAACAGAAAAAAATAGGGTACAAAAACCACTCGGAAGAGAAACAAAATGATAGAAAGAAAGACCAGCTACCGCACCAAACGAGAAAGAGCGTCGAGGAGACCGATCAAAATAAAATAAAAGGAGAACGGGGAACGCTTCCCACACCCGCCTACAACGCCGGAGGGTTCCGTGCCGGGTTCCCG